TTTTTTTAAGATTTATTTATTCATGTATACAGAACTGGGGTACAGGCCAGAGGTGCAGGGATGGTGGGAGGATTCACCAGAGACAGAGTGGGGAGAAGAACAGGCAGATGGACTGAAATACACTGCTCAGGGGAGCAGTGGACAGGTCAGGAGAAGTTTGCTGTGCCATGTGGGTCACTTCCAGGGACGGGGATCAAACTCATGCTGAAGTGGCTTTAGCTTCCTAGTGCAGTGCCTCAACCCACTGCGCCACCAGCCACCAGGGAGGGCCCAAAGTGCTTTAGATTTTTAAAAAAAGTTCCCCTTCTGCTGTTGTCAAAGATACAGCAAGGAAAAAAAAAAAAACAAAAAACAAAAAAAACACTCCCTCTACATTCATATTTGTAGTTGAGTTGTTATGTGCATTTAAAATACTTAGTAGCACAAAGGTTAAATTTTCTCTTTCCGGCAAACAGTTAGAGGGTGTTTACTTAAGTAAGACTACCATGAATGGCAAGAATCAAGTCTCCTACTGAAAATGAATTAGTAAATACAGATCCCTTGTTCCTGGGGGGAAACACAGGGTTCGGCTCTTGCAAGTCTCTGGTCACTTTTTTGCCAGTTCATCCACATTGAACATTTTTTACTATGGGTTTCTCATTTAGTCATATTTTAAATTACTGATTCACTACCATTGGGCTCACAGACAACACACTGTAACTCATGTCAGAGCAAGCTGACCTAACATACTCTCCTCCATGAGCCACACCACAGCCGTCCTGCACCTAAGAAGCACTTCTTACACTAGACTTTCTGAACAGTAAAAATCAACAGAAAGCAAGAGAATACAAAAAAAGGCACCAAATAGATTTTAAAAAGGTACCCATTTACAGTATGAAAGCTGAAGCAAGAAGGCAGAGATTTGTTTGACCTCAGCTTATCAGATGACATTTTTTTTCCCCACCATGATAAGCATGCACATGAATGTCCAATAAAGAACTGAGCATTGATTTGGGGGCTATAAATAAATTTTAGTGAGTTGGTAAGACCCATAAATAATGAGGACTGACTATACCTCAGGCAGATGAACAGCAGCCTTACCCTGGAAGATGTCTGTGTGCTGCAAAGACAGGGTGGCTGCTGAGCCTGCAAAGCTGCTCATCTAGGATCAACCAGCTCTCCCCAGCAAGCACACTAAGCACCTCTGGGGGCTTTCTTTTTTTCTCTGTATTTCTATACCAGTAGCTCTTAAACTTTTGAATGTATAAAGAAGATTTGGTAGACCACTACACCTGCCCCCTCTAACTCACTAAGCCTAGGAGAGTCCCAGATTTTTGCATTGATAGCAGGTTACCATGAGATGCCAGGGATCACACTTGAAGAAACTCTGTCTGTGCTGTTATCTCCACCTTACAAATGAAAGCTCCAAACTCAGAAGGGTTGAATAACTTGTCACAAATCCCAAGCACAGATACTAATTTCAGGGTAACATGTGGCTGATTTCATGATCAGCTCTTTCTGTTCTATTGCAACACCCTAGAGGCAGAACTCATCCATACATAAGCTATTTTATGTGGTGGTTTTATGCCCAGACTGGCTCAGTCTGTTCAGTCATGGAAGAGTTGGCTCTAGAACCAAGTCCATGCTCAGATGTGGGAGCTCTCAGCAGGCAGGGCTGGGAGTAGACGAGGGAGGAGGAAAGAGGAGGAAGTCCGTTTCCTATCTCGATATTTCTACAGGGTGACTCATACGTAAGATATCAGAATACAAAGGAATTGTCACCATGCAAGTTTAATGGGGAATTTTCATTGGCAGACAATAAAACGTAGTGATTACACATACACACACTCACCAGTTAGGAGTCTGATCACCTGATTATCCATTCTAAGTTTACTGGCTAACTTAGTCAATATTAGTTAATATGGTCAATTTGGAAGGGGTGGTGAGAAATAAACACAACCTCACCAGTGCGACCTGCCCAGGTTAAATAGTCAGGGACTTGAGAAAAATTCATCTTCATTTCAGGAAATGTTGCTCAGCTATTAGAGGTATTTCTTGTATGTCATGTCATTGAGATTATTTTCCTATCTTACTTTTACAGTAGTATCCCATACTTCTGCTTACCTACATTTGGATTCAAGCATATTTTGCCTTTGACAAATGATGCTGAAAGATTCAATGAAATTGTGAAGAATCAGAAAATTTCTGCTAATATTGACACACCTGAAGGTGGATTTGATGCTATTATGCAAGCAGCTGTATGTAAGGTATGCTGAAGGGAGAGGTGTTCACTGTTAACACAAATGTCCCTCCTTTAAACAATCTACTTTGAAAAAAGTTAGCTGGTTCTATCTTTTCCTACCTTTGGTCCTTTTTTTTTTTTT